TTTGATTATCTTCTGTATTTCTGAAGTGTCTGTTGTGATATTGCCTTTTTCATCCTGTATGCTAGTAATTTGAGTTCTCTCTCTTCTTCTCTTCTTCTCTTTGCTAGCATGGCTAAGGGTCTGTCGATTTTGTTTATTTTTTCAAAGAACCAACTTTTAGTTTTGTCAATTTTTTCAATTGTTTCTTTATCCCTTTTGATTAACTTTGGCTTGAAATCTATTTTATTTGATATGAGTATGGACACTCCTGCTTGTTTCCGAAGTCCATATGAGTGATATGATTTTTCCCAACCTTTCACCCTCAGCCTATGTATGTCTTATCCTATCAAATGCGTCTCCTTTAGGCAGCATATTGTTGGGTCTTGTTTTGTGATCCATTCTACTAGCCTGTGTCTCTTAATTGGTGAGTTTAAGCCATTAACATTTAGGGTTATTATTGAGATATGGGTTGTTCTTCCAGCCATATTTGTTTATTTATGTTACTAAACATGGTTTGTTTTCCTCTTTGATTATTTCCCCACCCTTTACTGTCCTACCTCCCACTGTTGGTTTTCATTGTTATTTTCCATTTCCTCTTCCTGTAATGTTTTGCCGAGGATGTTTTGAAGAGATGGTTTTCTAGCTGCAAATTCTTTTAACTTTTGTTTATCGTGGAAGGTTTTAATTTCATCTTCCATTCTGAAGCTTAATTTCGCTGGATACACAATTCTTGGTTGGAACCCATTTTCTTTCAGTGTTTGAAATATGTTATTCCAGGATCTTCTAGCTTTCAGAGTCTGTGTTGAAAGATCAGCTGTTATCCTGATTGGCTTACCCCTAAATGTAATCTGCTTCCTTTCTCTTGTAGCTTTTAAAATTCTCTCCTTATTCTGTATGTTGGGCATCTTCATTATAATGTGTCTAGGTGTGGATCTCTTATGATTTTGCACATTCGGCGTCCTGTAGGCTTCTAGGATTTGGGATTCTGTCTCATTCTTCAAGTCTGGGAAGTTTTCTCGTATTATTTCATTGAATAGATTGCTCATTCCTTTGGTTTGGAGTTCTGTACCTTCCTGTATCCCAATGACTCTTAAGTTTGGTCTCTTAATGTTATCCCATATTTCTTGGATGTTCTGCTCATGGTTTCTTAACAGTCTTGCTGAGCTGTCTATGTTCTTTTCCAGTTGAAATACTTTGTCTTCATTGTCTGATGTTCTATCTTCTAAGTGTTCTACTCTGCTGGTAGTATTCTCCATTGAGTTTTTAAGTTGGTTTATTGCTTCCTGCATTTCTAGGATTTCTTTTTGTTTGTTTTTTATAACCTCTATCTCCCTGTATAGTTGATCCTTTGCTTCCTGGATTTGTTTGTGTAATTCATTGTCGAAGTGATCTTTCATTGTCTGATTTTGCTGTCTAATGTCTTCCTTGATACTCCAGATCATCTGAAGCATGTATATACTGAATTCTTTATCTGACATTCCATCTGCTGCAGCTGTTACCTCTTCTAAAGTTGAGTTGACCTGCATTGCTTGTGGTCCTTTCTTTCCTTGTCTTTTCATACTGCTTGCGTTTCTTTCTGCTTGGTGAAACTGTTGTGTTTTTGAAATGTTTTTTTCTCCTATATATTTATATTGCTCTTGTATAGTTGAAAAGTCTCCCTTGCAGGGTCGGGCGGCAGTCTGCCCACCTTTCAGGCACGGGTGGCGGCTCTGCTCTGCCCCTACTCCAATTGGGGTGACGTGTGTACCACGCCGGCAGTCTCCTGGGCCTGATCCGCCGGTCTGTTGCAGGTCTGCCTACCTTGCAGGCGAGGGCGGCGGCTCTGCCCTGCCCCTCCTACCACGCCTGCGGACCCCTGGGCCTGATCTGCAGGTTGGTCGCAGGTCTGCTCACCCTTCGGGCACGTGTGGTGGTTCCGCTCCGCCCCCACTCCAATTGGGGTCACGTGACCACCACACAGGCGGGGCCTGATCCGGGCGCGGGCGAAGGCTCTGCTCTGCCCCTACTCCAGTTGGGGTGACGTGTGTACCACGCTGGCAGGCCGCTGGGCCTGACCCGCCAGTCTGTCACAGGTCTGCTTACCTTGCAGGTGCGGGCGGCGGCTCTGCCCTACCCCTCCTACCACGCCCGTGTACCACTGGGACGCGGGTCTGCCCACCTTGAGCGCGCGGGTGGCAGCTCCACTCTGCCCCCTCTCCAATTGGGGTCAGGCGATCACCACGCCGGCGAGCCGCTGGGCCTGCTCCGGGTGCCGGCAGCGGCCCGGCTCCTCCCCTCTGGCTCGACGACAAATCGAGTGAGACTCGGGTGTCTGTGCCTCACCCTCCCTACCAGGAGACCAACTGTTTCTGTCGCCGCTGGTATTGATGAAGTTCTCTCCTCCGCCGCTTTCTGATGACATCAGATCTCTGTCATGTTGGTATCCTATGTGAATGGCAGCATTTCGTTCCCTTTGCTGGGTAACCAAAGCAACGGGTGAGTCCTGACCAGCCCTCAGCAGGACCCGGACCGAGAAGCAGTTTCCACGGGCTCCTTAGCCCTGGGCCAGAGCAGTTCCTGGAGCCGGAACTTGGCCGCTCCGTGCTCGGTGTATGCTCTGATAAGAGCAGGCTCCAAGAAGCACTCAGGCACTGAGCCTGAGTAATTTGTCTGCAAGCCGCAGGCGAATGGCAGCCTGAAATTACCTGTTCTATGGCTGAATGAGCTGCGGTCAGTTGAAAACAGGGATGGTGACGTCAGCTCTCCAAGATGGTGGCCGCTGGCCTCCTCTGTGGTCTGACCGGTGTGGAGAACCGAAATGGACTGCTTCCTTCCCCCGTCTCGAACCCAGAATTCAGCACTGAGTACGGTGCTTGCACGGCTGGCAGAAACTGCAGCGCTGTATCCCTGCGCCACTATCTCCTCCTCGTTTCCCAGCATGCGCTGCAGACTCTAGCCACGGGGCGATTTGCTGAATAAGCAGTGTTACCCTCCTTGCGACAAATCTCTCGCGTTTGAGTCCCCGTAGCCGATCCTCGTGCGATGGAAATCCTTCCTCCAGGTTCCGGAGCACCCCACTATTGCTGGAAATTCCTAACAAGATAGCCTTTAGCCGTCCTGACTTGTCATACTCCCACACAGTGACGCGGCACACGGGGGCAATGCACTCCCCTCGCCGCCATCTTCCAGCCTCGGTCTGCCACATATTACTTTTTTAAAAAACTTATTTACTGTATATGTTCTCCAGTGAGAGGTGAGGACGTTGGGGTGGAAAGGACATACTTGCCTTGCTTAGGCCCATGCTGGCTCTCATTATGTCCACTGGTGGTTATTCACCTGGGGATTATTTTTGTTTTCAGAACTTTTTCTAACATTCCTTGCAAAATGCTGGTAACCAGTTGGCTTAGTTCTGTTTGTGTTTCTATGTCTTTATTTTTCCTTTTGAATGCTATTTTTCACAATACCTGGTGTTTTCTATGGAAAACTCCTTTTGCTTTTCTCTCAGTAATTTAAAAATATCATTTTATTATCTTGGTGTCTGTTGCTTAATATGAATATATAATTTCTTTTAATGTTGGTTCATTCAATAATAGGATGGTTTTCTCCCTTCCCCATTGGGTCCTTTTAAGATCCGTATTAATTTCGAATGCTGTGGAATGAGTTATCATAAGCTTTGTGGCTTAAAATAGCACACATGCTATTTCAAATTCTGTGGGCTGCGCTCAGGCAACCGTGGGGATGAGTTCAGTGCTTTGGGACTTCCCTGGCCTTGAATCTGGGTGACAGATTTCTGAGGCTTGGTCATCCAGATGCATTAGGCCATTTCCAGATCTCCTTCCCTGTGCCATAGAAGGGAGGCACCTTGATTGGGAGCCACTCAGGATTTAAGCTGCTCAACTTCTTGCCCTGAGAGTCTGTCTCTTAGTTCCAACTGGCAACTGGGAACTCCTCCCCTACTGCGCCTCCTTTGCCCATCATGTCCCCAGCCAGTTTTCTGGTGATACGCTGCAGAAAACTCCTTGCTGTAAAAGGCTTGTGTGATGAGTTAGGCCCACCCACACAGTTCCCCTGTCTTGGGGTCACCTAACAGGGAAACTTAATTGTGTCTGCCAAGCTTCGTCACAGCAATACTGAGCTTGGTGCTCAACTGAATGGACAGGGAAGGTGTGTCTGGGTGGTCTAGATGCCTGGGTGGGAAGAAAGACAGGGCCAGCGAAGTTCATGTGAGTCCCACCTGGGTCAGGGAAGACAGAGCAGGTACTGCCACAAAACTCAGCTGATATTTCAAAAGTGGGTTGGATTTTCCATCACGCATGTGTGTGCTCGTTTACACTCAGCTTCCTCTCAGGCTCTGCGACAGGAAGCTCCACAAAAAGTGGACAAATGCCTGGTTTTACCCACATTTATATGCTTTTTGCCTAATACTTCCCACGTGATAATATAGCTATGTGGATCAAAAAACTTTTCAAGTTTAACGTAAAACTGCATAAATGTTTCTTGGCTGGGTAAATTAATTTTGGAATCTGGACAAGAGCAGCAGCTTCAACTCACATTGCCCAATGCTTAGCCAATCCCAGTGGAATTTAATTCTCTTAATGCTCTGTGCATTAGGCATATGGCTTGAGGTTGATTAGGTGTGATCTAACTGGTTATGCTTTTTTTTTTAACTCTTGTCATTAATCTTCACAAAAGAATCATCAGAAAAATGGGTTTCATGTCTCCTCTTGTGCTCTGCTGAGGATTCAGGTGCAGTCTGCTAACTAATGTCTCAGGACAGAAAAGAGCTCCTGCTGGCTGCGGGTGTTTGGAGTGGCTGGCTGTGGATGCGCACCTGAGAGGACTTATCTAAATTCAGGTTCAGGGTCAAGTGCAGCTTCAGAAGCAGTTGCCACAGTCACTGCTGATTTTGGAACCAGAGCTCAGCCTGTTGCTGCAATGTTCCTATGGCTTGAGAGAGAGTTTGCCATCTACCTTTGTCCTATTATTCAGTACCCAGTATATATGGGGTGACATGACATTGTCACCCTACAGAAGTGGGTGCCATGGGGTGCAAGGCTGTGTGCTTCGGACTGTCTTGTCTTCTCTTTGCTTATTACATCTACACACCCATCCCCCAAAACATTGAGGAGCGCTGGAAAGTCGGGATCTTGGATGCTGTCGTGAAAATTATCTCACTCATGGTAATGCTTTTCCTGGGGAATTGGGATGCCTCATCTTAAGTCCATATGAACTTTCTTTAAGGTTGCAATTTAAAGAGAGACTGGGTTTCTTTTAGAATAAATTGACCAAATAATATTAATATGTTCAATTTAATTAATCATTAATATGTTTGCTTGAATCCATAGGAAGCAGAGGGAGACAGAATTTTTGTTAAGAATCTGTATCTAAAGGTCATGACTATATATTGTGATAAGAATTATAGAAATGATATTGTCCAAATGGAAAATTTGAGAATTTTGTTTAATAGTTTGGTATATTTGACTTTTTTAAAAAATAATTTTTAGTTATCAATGGACCTTTACTTTTGTTTATTTGTATGTGGTGCTAAGACTAGAACCCAGGGCCTCACATAGGCTAGGCAAGCGCCCCTGAGCAACAACCCCAGCCCTATATTGAACCATTTTGATGTAACCTATTCTGGCATGTTCTCTTAAAACTTACATGTATATATCAATTATATACATTTTGATGTGTATGTAGTGCTTTTACTATTTTAATGTTTTTCCCTTTCTAAGTAGTTCCCAAACTTTCAGGTTTCAGAAAGTCTGTACATTCTGTGCATTACTGAGGACCTAAAAGAGCTTATTTATGTGGGCTACATTCATCAGTGTTAACTGCATTGGAAATCAACCTCATTAGAACGATTTCACTTAATGGTAAACCCATCATAAGTTAACCTAAACGATATAGTTTCATTAAAACGTGCTTTTTAAACAGGAAAGACTTTATGACAGTCAACATTTTTTCAGATTCCTTTGATGTGTTTCATCCTGGAAGCTGGGTTCTCTGGCATGCCTCAGTAGCTAGTCTGTTGTGAGAGCTTCCCCCACCTCGTGAGCAAATTAGATTTTCCTAAGAGGTAGAAGAGTGATGGTATCACGTGTGCTCTCTGAATGTGTCCGAGACCCCCAAGGGTTGGGAGACCACACTTTGAGATGTGCTGCTGCTCTTACCTAACGTCAGTACTTCATTGCTACATCTCAGCCCTCATGTGTGAAAGTGTCAGAATTTGGATTCCAACCTAACATACTAGAACACCAGGCTCCCTTGCCAGGATACGCTGCCCTCGGGGGGCATGCAAATGATAGTGAGTAGGACGCTTAGGGAGAGGACAGTGATGGAGAACAAATGACCAGAGAGGAGAGAGCAGAGTGGCAAAGAAGGACAGGGATGCCCCCTGTGCTGCCGAAAGAGACCACAGAGCTCTGGGCTCTGTTCCTGAGGTGACTCCTACTGAAAGTTCAAAGCCACTGAGCCGTCCAGGACATGATATGCTCTTTCCTATTAATTTCAAGGGTCCCACTCTGTTCACTGGACACTAGGAAAACAGGCAGATGAGCAATGTCACCCTACAGAGAAGCTGCTTGTGCATCTTTAGACTGTGAAGTGACCGATACTTATTCCTGGTCAGTATGTGCATCTTCTGAAAACTGGTAGAATATGACCTTTTCTTTCTCAAATGCAAAATAAAATGATGGGGCACACATAAAATAGAAGCCATTTCATCCATTTGTTCCTCTTTTCACGTGCCTATGTAGGAGGTGAAATGCCAGAGAAGTGCTTGCAGGGTTCTGGTAGTGGTCAGTCAGCTTGCCCATGTTCAAGGGTGAGCCATTTGTTATCATCCTGACTCGATAATTCAAGTGATTACCAGGAGAAATAAAAATATTAACACATATCAGATAAATTATCATCACAGTTCTTGATATAATAGCATGGAGAAAGTTAGTACTCGGAAGTAACCCATTCTAATTATAGACAGTGTAAGGCAGGAGAAACAGCCTGAGCTTTAAAACCAGCTAGATGTTTATTTTATTTGTATTTGTTCTTTTTAGACATACATGACAGTAGAGTTATTTTGACAAATTATACACACATGGAGTATAACGCAGGACTCCATTCTTGTGGTCATGCCTGTTATGGAGTGTCACTAGTCATGTATTCATCTATGAATACAGGAGAGTGATGTCCGATTCCTTCTCCTCTTTCCTTTTCCCATCCCCACATCCTTCCCTTCATTCCCCTTTGTGTAGTACAATGAACTTCTATTCTTCCTTCTCCTCTCCCCTATTGTGTGTTAGCATCTGCATCTCAGAGAGAATATTCAGCCTTTGGTTTTTTGGGATTGGCTTATTTTACTTAGGAAAATATTGTCCAGTTCCATCCATTTACTGGCTAATCTCAGAATTTTATTTTTCTTTATGACTGAGTAATATTTCATTGTATATACAGACTACATTTTTTTCTTCATTCATCTGTTGAAGGGCACCTAGGTTGGTTCCATAGCTTAGCTATTGTGAATTGAGCTGCTATAAAAACATGATGTGGCTGATTTTAAGTCCTTTGGGTATATTTCAAGGAGTGGTATAACTGGGTCAAATGGTGGTTCCATTTCAAGTTTTCTGAAGAATCTCCATATTGCTTTCCATAGTGGTTGCACCAATTTGCACTCCCACCAGCAATGTATGTGGGTGCCTTTTCCCCCACATCCTTGCCAACATTTATTGTTGCTTGTATTCTTGATAATTGCCATTCTGACTAGAAGGAGATGGTATCTCAGAGTAGTTTTTATTTGCATTTCTCAAATTGCTAGAGATGTTGAACATTTTTTCATATATTTGTTGGCCATTTGTATTTCTTCTGTGAAGTGCCTGTTTAGTTCCTTAACCCACAAATTGATTAGGCTTTTTTTGGTGTGTGTGTGTGTGTTAAGTAAAAGCAGTTATATCTTCAGAATGTACTTAATCTTTTTGTGGCTCAGTGTCTTCAACTGCAAAATGAGAGAGCTAATATATTATATTGCACGGTTGCCATGAAGCAGGAGGGCATGGGTTGCCAAACCCCATCTAATAATGTGGAGAGGCAGCTGGTAATTTAATAATGTGGAGAGGCAGCTGGTAATTTCTTAGTTGAGAAGGGCTCAGCATCTACTCCAGGAGAGGAGCTGTGAAAGATGAACCCAGGCCAGAAGCTGATGAATCTGAATGAGATTACTCTGGTTCTCAGCCGCCACACACCGCGCTTTCTCTAGAACCAGCAGTAGCTCTGTGTTAGGCTGTGCAGGGGGACCTCTGCTGTGCCACTAGGGTTACTCCTGCTGTTCTTTGCATCTTTATGTTCACTTCCTGCTACGGAAAATCAATGTGCTCACTGTTTCAAACTTCTTTAGATGTTTTTATCAGTGCATTATGGTTATACCAATGGTGGGGTTCATACTCACATGCTCATATTTGCATGGATATAATTTGCTCCACCTCAGTTCCCCAAGACCTCCACTTTCCCTCCCACCCTTCCAATATTTCCCTTCCTCTACTGGACTTCCTTTTATTTATTTATTAGTTTTTAATTGGGTGATTTATAGATGTACATGAAGGCAGAGTTCACTGTGGTATATTTGTACATGTATATAGCATCTTTTGCTCCATCTCATTCTGTAATTCTTCCCTTTTCCCATCCATCCTCCCTCCTCTCCATTCCCTTCCTCCCCTCCCCTGACCTCCCACTCCTTCCCTTTTCCCATTACGTTGCTCTGGCTTCCACATAGGAAAAACAACCACTCCATCCTTGACTTTCGGAGCCTGGCATATTTCACTCAGCATGACAGTCCCCATTTCCATCCATTTACCAGCAAATGACAAGATTTCACCCTTCTTTATGTCGGAGATAAATCCCATTGTATATGTACACTGTATTTTCCTTTTTTATTCACCTGTTGACAGGTATGTGGGCTGGTTTCATAACTTGGCTATGGTGAACTAAGCTGATATAAACATCGATGTGCCTGTATCACTATACTATGCTGATTTTTTGTTCTGTTGGATAAATATCAAGGAGTGGTATAATTGGGTCATATGGTGGATCCATGCCTAGTTTTTTGAGGAATTTCTATGCTCTCTGGAGTAGTTGGACTAATTTGAAGTTCCTCCAACAGTGTATTTGTGTACCTTTCCCCCTACATTCTCACCAGCACTTATCATTTGTATTCTTTTTTTTTTTAGTTATAAGTGGACACAATATCTTTATTTTATTTTTTATGTGGTGCTGAGGATCAAACCCAGTGTCCCACGCATGCTAGGCGAGCACTCTAGCTCTGAGTCACAACCCCAGCCCATATTATTTGTATTCTTGATGATTGCTTTTATGACTAGAGTGAGATGTATAGTTTTGATTTGCATTTCCCTGATTGCTAGGAATGTTGAAGGTTTTAAAATATGTTTGTGGGTCATTTGTATTTCTTCTTTTAAGAAATATCTGTTTAGTTCTTTTGCTCATTAATTGATTGGGTTATTTGATTTTTGTGTCAGGTTTTCTGAGTCCTTTGTGTATTATGGATATAATTTCCCTGTCATAGGAGTGGCTTGCAAGGATTCCCCCTCCCACACACACATTCTGTAGGCTCTCTCTTCATGCTCTTCTTTCCTTTGCTGTGCAGAAGCCTTTTAACTTGATGTCATTCCACGTATTAATTTTTGGCTTCATTTCTTGAGTTTTGGGGGTCTTGTTAAGGAAGTTGGTCTCTGTGCCAATGTTCTGGCTTGTTGACACTATGTTTTCTTCCAGAAGTTACAAAGTTTCTGTTCTAATTCCTTAGCCATTAATGTACTGTGAGGTGACTCTTGTACAGGGAGAAAGAGGGGGATCTACTTTTATTCTTCTACACATGTATATCCAGTTTTTTCAGCAATGTTTGTTTAAAAGGCTGTCTTTCCTTCAATGTCTATTTTTGGCTCCTTTACTGGGTATGAGATGACTGTGTCTAGGTGGGTTTGTCTCTATATCTTCTATTCTATTCCATTGATATCTTAGTTGATACCAGTATCATGCTGTTTTGCTGCTATAGCTCTGCAGTATAATTTCAGATCAGGGATCCTGATCCCACAAATGTCATTCTTCTTTCTCAGTATTGCTTTGGCCACTCGGGTCTTCTACTCTTCCATATGAATGTCAGAATTTTTTTCAT